TGCAGATGTGGTTTCTGTTTATTTTTCATGCACCTTTGCGTACATTAGAGAATCTGCATTTGTGCAGCAATGCGTGTTTTTGCAGCTTTGTGTATATGTAACCGTGCACGCTCCTTGCGACAGTATGTACATTACACTCTATGTGCATGCATCTTTGTATTTATGCATTCATGTTTACACACATGTGGAATGTGTCTGTGTGTTGGGGGAGGAGGAAAGCATCCAGGTTCCACAGTCAGTCAGGCAGCATCTCGTCAGGCAGGCCTCAGTCACGGCCCCCCAGGGGAAGGCTGCCTACTGTGGGCACGAGCCGTGATGATTGTCCCCGCTGGGGGGATCGCACATGCGCACTAACATACACACATGCGCACTCACACACAGACCCACACACATTGGCACACACAGATTTGCATACACCCATGTATGTACAAACATGCATGAAAATACACATACATACCTAGAAAACGGCACACAGTCACATAAACTCATATGCACAACATCACACAGACATACACACAGATCTCGCATGATATACATGAATCCATTTTAGAAGAGAACTGCATGTGCACAGGCACATACACACACACACGCACGCACGCACACATTCATAAATACACATGCACAAAAGTCCCACAGAGGTAATAATGCTTGTATTGCATGCACACTGAGGCACATATTTGCATAAGCACAGCATACACAGATCGTGCCCCCTCAATACACACACATACATAGGCAGAGCTGAGAGCAATGCATTGTGGGTTGAGGCTTAAAATAAGCATGACAGTTCCTGCCATGATCCTGGTGGGTCACACAACTTCACGTACTGAAAAAGTGCTGCATGAACATACATAATGCCGTCAAAAAAGTACTGTTCAGCAGCTCATTGCACTTAAACTAAATTAGTTATTTTTGTCAAATTAACACCCACAGGAATAGAAATAAGTGTTATTTAAATGTATGTGTAATTTTATTATGTAAAATCTTTTAAATCTAAATTTTAAAAAATACAACAACTTCAACAATTAGGTATGAGGATAGCTTGGCTTTTGGAGCACAGAGGGATTTCCCTAGGGCATAAATGAGGTCTGTAGCAGTGCAGACAAAAACACTACAACAAATTAAAGGTCACTTGAGTACTACAGAAAACTATGTTTATGTAGAGTCACTGTGCAATACATCAACTTTGGAGCAGCTTTTGTTTTACAGTTTGAACTCTCAGTTCTGAGTTTTGCTTGAGAAGAGCGATGCTCACAACAACAATATTAAATACTAAGTCTCTTACAGTTGAAATATTCCATAATGCTTCAATTGAATATTAAATATTCCTTTTCAGTCAAAATGCTCCATCCCAAAACTCTACTCCTGGCATGATTTCATCTCTTCCTATCAGGCTGTAACATCCCACAGTTGGGCTGTAGGAGTTAAACGTAATGGAGCCTTGGCTCATCACAATGGAAAATCTGTGGTTTTGATCATGGGGATCAAGCACTAATGCCGATCCACACTGCACTGTCTCTAAGCCGGGAAAGGGCTGCTCAGGAAGGAGAAAAGAAAACAAGAGTGGTTTTCTCTGCTCAGAGGAAGAATGAAGCGTTGTGTGTAAGAGTCAAAGGGGAGAGCAGAGAGGTGAACGAGTAAAATACGGCCATTAATCATGTGAAACTGCTTGAGGTGAAATAAATGGATGTGGGCAAAGAGAGGAGGAAAGAGGAGGAAAGGAATAACAAGATGAGAGATTTAAGATGTTAGGGTAGTGCAGACTGGGATTCGGGACTGTTCAGTGTCTTGAGAAAAGAAAATGTGCATTTAGGAAATTTCAAGAATGGTATGAAGTAATGATTGATGCCTTAAACTTAGACTAAAGGGGATTGGGTGATGCATAAGTAGTGCTGGAGGGACGTTTCCCCCACTTAAGCACCTATGTGAATACTCAAATCAGTACCCAAAAAGCACAGTCTACCTGTCTGTCTAAGCTACTGGTGCTATTTGTTTTGTAGTTAACACCCAATTTGCTGGGATTTTGTCCTAGGTGAAGGTTTTGTGTAGATACACAAGACAATCAAACAAGTATTTTTTTTTTTGGCTTGTCCCACAGAAGACTACCAGACTCTGTGGCTGTTGTTTCCATTGTTGCTATGCTTGTATCCGTATGTTTTATTACTGCTTATGCTGAAGTCATTTCTGTTCGCACACATTATTCCTGTAAAATCTGCCAAGTGGTGCTAGTTGGATTGTCTGCTGTGCAATATCCATCTGCTCACATGCAGTTGTCTATTTCCACGTTCATGCACTCAATACACTGCAGCACCAATACACCATCAGTTGAGACAAGGTACCTGCCACTGCCAGGTGCCATTTGTCTCAGCTGTCATCATAGCTGCCAGAGTGTCCTTTTACATAGATGGAGCTCCTTGTTCTAAAGCTGCCACCAGACGAACTTGAAAAACTCTACCCAGCCACTGTGCTATCAGCCACTTTATTGAGCATTGTGCCATCGAGTGTGGAAATTTGAGTGAGCAGATTTGTGGAGCTTGTGTTCAGGGTTGATGCAACCAAAACATTTCCTTTTCACTAATTCATTAATGCTAACTAAGTAAGCCAGCTGTCTCTCCTGCTACTCGAGACCCCTCCTTTGTGACAGAATTCAGTTCTCTGTAATCACATAGAAACCAACACATACAATAAACCCATTCCTCAGTATTGAGCAAATTTTTCTACAGGAATTTAAATAAAATAAAAACAGAAATAAGATTAACTGAATCAAGATAAATATTCCACATGTAGTGAGCTGCCTTACCAACGTGCATAATGAGGAGTAATATGTGCTGTTTTTGTAGACACACTGTGAAGGTAAGAAGGGTGCAGTCCAGGCAATGACATGGTCAAACATTGACATTGTCTTCATTTGATGCACAGGGATTTGAAATTCAAAGCCAGTTCCCTGGTTAAATTCTGGTCATAAAGGTCATCAGTCGAACTGGGAATGGTTCTTAGCCCGCCGGTTCATTCCAGCGCTTCGCCCTCCGTCCCTCTCTCACTCCTCCTCTTCCTCCCTCCATCCTAAACACAGTTCACTTGAAAGGTCCAGCAGGAGCTAATAATAGACTGGAGTCACTCAGTCTTGGTAGAGTTAGGGATTTGTAAATATGCCTTTCTCCTGTGGGCAACTTCCTGGTTGCTGGCAAAGGCGGGAGCCAATGATGGGAGGAGGAGAGAAGCGTGGTCGGCATGGCAACGCGGCATGGCTGTCTGCACGGCTTTAACTCGGGTGTTAAATGCAAATGTTATTCCCCAGGAGTAGTCCACCTAAAGCCACTGCTCCCACTCTCTTCTCTTAACTTCACATTTCTTTCTGGTTTTCCCTTTGATCACACACACACACAGTAATGTCACAGTCCTTCATTTCCATTAAGATATTTTTAATTTATGACATGTCCTATTTTTAAGTTTCTATGTATTTAACACCAGTACAAATAGTATAGTAAAAATATGGCCAAAGCAACAATTAAAGGAAACTTTTTTTTTTATTAGATTAAAAAAAACTGTGCTTTCATTCCGTAGTATCAAAAAAATTAATCCGAATATAATCCTTATCAGTCTTAATGAGACACATTAACCCACTGAGTTTATCAGATGGTGCAGCCACAAGTAATAGCCTTTAACGCACTAAGGCAGTGATTTCATTTGAACCTGCTGGCCCTGTGCTGTCTTTAATCTGTGGGCCTCCCTTGTGTGCCATAACAACACAACCTCAAAATAGCCCCCCTCTCTCTCTGTTAGCAAATTAAGAGAAAAAGTGTAGGCAGAATAGAGCAGATATCACTATGGCAACCTCTCCGCCTGATTGCTATGAGATGTGATTTCCACGAGTTTTGTCTTCTGATCTTCTTGGTTCTTAACTTTCTGTAGGAAGGCAGAGCTAGTGCTGCAATCGTTTCATGTGGTACATGGAGCTATGGGAATATCAGACCCTATATTAATTCACAGGGAAACCAATGTGTGCTTCATTCATTGATGATGAAGATGCTTTTATTGTGGGATTAACATGGGAAGACAATCTAAGGGATAAAATCTTAAAGTTACAGCACTTATTTCAAAATGTTTTCCAAGATATTAAGACAGTATACAATATAAGACAGAAAATAACACGGAATATCAGGAAAACTAATAATTAAATGTGTAATATAGTTCAACATTATCTCAAAAAAAGTACTAGATATCCCAATAATGACCATTATTTGCTGACCATGGGAACTTTCTTATAGACGGTCCAAAGATTAGCTTAGCTGACCTGAAAAAAATTCTCATGATTTCAGCAGTTTTATTCAACACTTATCAAAACAAAGAAATCATTGATGCATAGCTATTATCAACAATGATAAATGTGTCAGATGTTATGGAAGTTTTCAGTTGACGCCTTCTTATATTTCCGTCTACAGAACCTCATTGACAAAAACTACATGCTTCTGTATCTTTTGGCAATTGACACAAAAGAATGTCAGCTGCCAAAAGAATGAAGGTCACAATGTAAATATTTGTACAGAGAGTTTAATGAGTGAGTTTTCATTGTATTTCATCCATTTTATAATCACAACACGAGAATGCAGAAAGTTCAGGATTTAGGGATTATGCTAAACCTTGCACTAACCGAAGGCCTGAGTTTAGTGAATGTGAGCAAGTGTTGTTCTGAATAGACATGAATGATTGTCTTTGAACAAAGACCTCATTTGTTTTCTGCTCCTTTGTTTGCAGAAGAAAGACTAATCTTCAGGCAGCGCCTCTGGATTTGTTAAAAACTGGATTGGCTTTTATTGGGGTGTTTTGACAGCAGCTATTTCAAAATTGTTTGCTCCATTGTTGTTTTATTTTAAAGAACATGTCAAAACTCCCTGCTTATTGGTTTATAGACATACAAAAATCGTTATTTGGTGGAAAACTGTAAAATTCCTGACTGACATTTTCCTCGGTACAAAAATTCGACCTTTTCTCTGTGACTGCAGGTAACGAAAAGCTGGCCAACAAGGCAGCGCTGTGGTACGTCCCCTGCTCTCTGCAGAATGTCGACAAGATCATGGAGGTGCCGCCCATCAAGGTACATGGAAACTTGGTTGCTCTGACCTTCATGGACTGAAGTTTGGCATTTCACCTGTCAGCCTCTCTCTGTCTCTATCTGACTCTGTTCCTCTATATGGATTGGAAGAGACATGACCAGAAGTCAAGGAGAGGGAATCCATGAGACAGGCCATCTGGTCAAGATAAAAATATTGGCATTCAACAGTGTGAAAAGTCCATCTCACACTGTCACATTGTCTTGAATGTCAGTGTGATAAAAAAAATCTTTACTTATACCACATGCAACTATGCAGAGACAGGTGTTTAAGTGGATGTTTACACGTGTGCATATGCTCATATTGTATATATGTACGTTTGTAGTATGCCAGTGAAGAGCAAGAGGAGGAGGGCAGAAAGCGCTACGAGGCTCAGAAGATGGATAGACTGGAGACCAAAGCGAGGATTGAAGAGGTGGTACCACCTCCACCCAACCAGGGTAACATCCTACCCGAAAGGCCTCAGATCAAATCCTAGCATGCAGTTAACGTACAACAGATAATGTTCTTGCTCCCACGTGGATTGAAAGATGTTGCAAAGATCAGCTAAAATCTTTCTTCTGTCTGTTATTGATACTAATGTTGTCATTGAAAAGGTCATTATGGTTTACTCTGCAAATACTGTAACACCTCCACTTAACACAGGCACTGCACTGACCTTTTTGAGCCGAGTTGTTTCCCATATGTTGTTGTACAATAATAGTTGTAGTAGTTCAGGTACACATAATACAGGACATCATGTGCTGTGTTTCTATAGCTGTAGCCTGTAACAACTCAGTGCTGTGATAATGAACTGAAGTCAAAAGCAAATACTTTCCTCAGTATCAGACATTTTATTTTAGTTCTGATAATTGTTAAATATGAATTCATATAAATTAAATTGTTCTGTTTTTACGTTGGGAAACAAGTATTTGCATTGACATATTATTGCTAAATACTGAGGTAAAAATAATGCCAACTGTCTATGGTCTATGGACTGTCTGACTATGTTCTATCAGTGATGAATGTACTGTGGTGCTGCACTGCTAAACATTACAATAGTGCAACTCTAACATACATTGGACACAGAAAGAACTTTGTTAAATAACAATGAAGTTGATCAGAATAGATGTATTCAATCATTATAATAGTAAAATTGATAACTGATTCTATAATTTTGTCATGTTCACTCAACTCCTCAGAGGATCTACTGAAAGGTATGTTAACTCGGAAGGCTGCAGTGAGAAGCATGTTGGTGTTGTGTTGGCTTGCTTGGTTCAAAAAACACACTTGCAAGTTTTTAAATACAAAATTGCCATTTTTTTCATATTTCTTTTTGTTGTGTGTGTATTTGCATTTCAGAACAACACACAGTTGGCTTCAGCCAGTCCAGTCTGATCCATTTGGTGGGCCCTTCTGACTGCACACTGCACAACTATGTTCATGGAGGTGAGTCTAACTGTTTCTTTTCCATTTCCAGCTTGTAGGTTGAGTACGTTGTTAAGTGGACAGTTGACTTTGGGTCATAATGATATAAAGTTGCAGAGTCAGTTCCAGAGTCTATCTGTAACATGAGAAATTAGGAATCTTCAACAGACCATTGAGCAATTCTTTCGATATTAGCAATGAATGAAATGCAATGTGAAAGGGGTCACTCATGGTGTCAAACCCAACCCTCTGCATCTCTACTAAGCTTTTAGCTACTTTTAGCTCATTGCTCACCATCCCCCTGTACAACTGTAGGCAGCCATCAGAGAGCTGAGGTAACAGTGACTGGTGAAGTCCAACATCTAGCAGCTGAAGAGCCAGATATTTTTCTTAGGTCCTTAAAAGGCGTACAATACATTATTCTAGTGGACAGAACCATTACTCAACTGGGCGCTCATGTTGGTCTGTGCCTGCTGGATGTGAAAGCAGGCATCTCTTTACTAATATGTTAACTCTTGATAAGCTAGTAGTATCTGAGGTCTGAGTTTCTCTGACCCCTAAGTGGTTGATGTGATTTACCTGAAATATTTTCCAAAGTGCAGTGAGGGGTGCTTGAAACCTGTATGCTAATAGATGCAATTACTTACTCTCAATTAATCTGACCACTGAGTGTCTGCATTTACCTTTTCGTGGTAGAGGCCCCTAATTAGACTCACCAACCTTTGTACTCTCTGTTAGCAGGGAAAATAAGCTACAGGCCGATCCTTTCAGTGTAAATTATATAAATTGTCAATGCAAGGAACATACAGTAGTCTCTTATGATGACTACATGTATGGCTGTGGGCTTGTTCCTTGCACACCATATATTAGTGTTACACACTATATGTAACTCAAGGGGAGATATGCAAAGTATCAAATATCTAATACACTGACTTCACTGAAGCACAGAGAGGTGAACTTATTTGATATTATCTGTACTATAATACTTAAGTATTCAGATCCATGCAAAGTAAAAAAAAAAGTGGTTTTATTCAAAGTTCAAATGTACAACCACACTGAGTGATTGATCCAGTGCTAACAGCTGCTGACAAGCTGTTTCAGGGCGCAGTGTTTCCAAGTTGCCCTCTGCCACTTAAATCTGTCAGATTTCTATGTCACACGTGAAACAAAGAGCTCAGCAACAGCATCAGTCTATTTGGTATTCAAGGCACAGGAACAGACCTGACCATCCACGGCCTCAGTAGTGTATGAAAATCCTGTAGGGGAGAGGATGAAACAGAGACACCTACAGCAGAGAGGAGATAGAAGAAGAGATATATATGTAGAAGTTGAGGCGAGGAGTAAAGAAACGTCTGTAAAAAGTGATCAAACACTCACATATACAGTACACGTTCTCATGTGTTTACAATATCTACATTATTCCATCTGTTCCAAATCAGCGGTGTGCTTAGGAATCGCAGACAAGGTTCCTCCCTGTTTTATAGCCTTTGGCATTAACCTCAGACTGTACGTTGGTACAGCATGTCCTGTGGCAACACAGCAGAGAAGAAGAAATAGTGCTGAATTTAATCCAAAGTGAAATGTCCTTGAGAGAGAATTGTATTGCTTTTAGTACAATTTAGTACTTATGTTCTCCTAAGTGAATGAATGAGGGATGCAAGAATAAAAAAAAGTTATGTTCTGTAATGTCTTGCAGTTTTTGGGATTGAGTGTGATTGTTCTGTATTTGAGTGTGTGTGTGTGTGTGTGTGTGTGTGTGTGTGTGTTCACTGTTGCGCTGCTGAAATAACTGCTCGGGTTGTTCTAATTCTGTGACTTGCATTGACAGCACTCTGTGCTGTTATGAGCATGGCTGTAATGGTGAGGAACAGAATGACAAGGATAAAGCAGAAAATAGACATCTAGAACAACAAATGGGAAATAGAATGTAGAATAGAAATTTATGGTGCTGATGCTGTTTCCATTTCTGTGCTTAGCTGACAAGCTAGACGAGTCAGAGGCTTAGATTGGCCCTCTATGACACGTCTTTTGACCTTGTTAAAAATTTCTGACAGGGGCCTATCCAATCATCTTTAAGTAGGAAAAATATTTTATTTGAATGGTGAATTTAAAAAAGACATTTGGAGTATTTATTACAAATATTTCTTCTGTGCACATTCCCAAAGCCCTTTTAAATAGAAGCATTGTATGAAAGAAGCTTCCTGTTGTCTTTTTGTTCTTTCTCCCTGGGCCCTTTTCCCCTGCTGGAATTGATCCAGATTCCTAAAAACAAAGTTTACAAAATGCAGAGCTAACAGTACAGAAAGCAGCAAACTAAGATGTAAAACAAGATAAACAAATAACATGAGTGTATATCCACATTTGATGGTTTAGCCACCCGCAACCAAAAACTTGCTTATCTGATGTCCTAAACAACATAAAAAGCAAACCCTGACTGGAAACCTTTCTGGCTGTATCTGTAACAAATCCCACATTTTATCAGCATGGAACAGATGCTTTTTATCGGTCGAGGTATATTGTTTCTGGCAGGACATTCCTGCCTCATACTGCCATTTGTATTGAGGTCAGCTATGTAAAGAGGCCATCAGAAAGACACCAGATAGTGAGGAAGAAAAACAGAGGAGAGATGTTGACGGGGAAAGAGACGCAGTGAAAAGGCGACAGGACAGGTCGGCAGGATGGGAGGAGGAGGAGGGAGCAGAGCGGGACAGATAAGTGTCGCACGTGTCATGGTTGCCTTTTTAATTTAGCGAGCTCGCTGAGAAATCTGTCCAATTAAAAATCAACTGTGGAACAAGCATGCAGGTCATTTAGAATGCACACACACACACACACACACACACACACACACACACACACACACACACACACACACACACACGCTCACACACACACACACACACACACACACCTCTGCTCTCTCTGTACATGCCATTGCTCATTAGGCAATGTTCCCTGTTGTTCGCTGCTGCTGCTTTCACTACACTTATTTTGTTTACATAACTGAGTCAGGTCAGGCAGCCAGGGTGCTCGTGCTCTCTTTCTCTCTTACTGTGTCTTACTCTCTCGCGCTCTCCCTTTCTCTATATACTCTGGTTGGAGAAAAGCAAACTGACTTCTACATGGCAATGACGGGCTATTCACTTACTGTATTTCACCCCTTTTGTGGTGCGGAAAAGTGGCCTACTTAGCTTAAGCCCAAGGAGACATGAAGCACATGCACAAACACATGAACATTCAAGTACACGCATGCACGCACAAATACAATTGTGTCAACGTAATACCCTCTATTTGGTCAGGAATAATTTACAGTCAGTACTGGATCTGATTCTGCATTGTGCAGGCATCACATTCTTCATTTAGCAAGTGGTTTTTAATTATCTTTTAAAGACAAACACATACTTTTCACCACAATAAAGCTCTTTCTTACTCACCTCTAGTGGTATCAAGCCATGCAGATAGTTTCCTAAGGTTCTGAGATATCCATCTCTGAGATTCATGAACAGTTTTCTTCTGATGAAATAGGCCCTGTGACAGATGTCTACAGTAAGGTCTGTGGATGATCCAGAGTATGTCTGAAATCACAAGTTGCTGTTATTAAATGTCATTTTTCAATGGCTTGTGCAGAACAATCAATTCCTTTTATCCCCATACAGTATAATTTGGTGGCAGCAACAGTTTAATGAAAAATATCTCTTAAACTGGTCGCACAAAAAACAAAACTGCATGCATGGCTAGATACCACCAGAATTGAGTGATGTATATTTTTGTGATTTGAACTAGGGCTGCACAATTAATCAAAATATTATTGAAATCACAATATGGCCGTGTCCAATATCCATATCGCTGAAGCTGCAGTATAATAAGGTACTGGAGTGCTGCAGAGATGCTCTGGCCAACAAATCTTGTTCTCCAGATGTAAGAAAACATGGTACAGACCCCCCAAAATGTACATTACTTTCAGTGAAAATTAAATTTGCGATGTGAGACTGATCATTCCCACACTAATTGTGAATCATATCGCAAAGGACTAATCACAATGTGTTTTTTTTACTTTATCGTGCAACCCTAATTTAAACTGTTGTTGATTGTGGGGAATGGATCACATTTGTGGAGAGTCAACATTGATCAATCAATTAAAGATGAATGCGCTGGTTGGCAATAGAAGAGAGGAATATCCCTCTGATAAATACCCAAAATGTTTACAAAGCCAGAAGTTATGGGGTCAAGGCCTGCGACTGTTGATTTTCAAATGACAGACAGCTGGGTCAGTAATGAAAGTCTCCGATGTGCTGAACAAAAGCTTGGGAATTTTCTAAATGCTGGAAAAAGATCAGAAACCTTTAACTCGAGTCCTTTAACTCAACCTTTCTTTTTCTTTCTCTCTCTTACGCTCCTTTTCCTTGTTGCTAAGTCTTTCCCATCTGCCTATCTCTCCTCATTATCTCATGCTCTCTCTTCCTTCTCTCCCTACTCGCTCCCCTCCTTCCTTCATGTCCTAAGGAAGCGTACCACCTGTTTCCATGGAAACAGCAGTTGATTGCCACAGGTGGACACCACTGCGGTCTGATTAAAACAAATGGACCAAAAGAAACAAGATAAAGAAAATGACATACACATCGCTACATGTTTTGATGTGTCTTGCATGAACGGCCCTGTTCTGAAGGTTTCATGTTTAAGATGCTTTAAGTTTTTTCATCTGTGCACAAACAAATACTGGTGGTCAGCGTGTGTGCTATTTTTTGCTATTTTGTTGGTTCTCTATTTGTGTGCACACTTGTTTTCACTTTGTGTGCAGATGTGTGGCAAACCAAATCCGTGAGAGGTGTAGTAAATACAGACGTGTGCCTATGAAGTGGTTAGTGTGCATAGATTTAATGTGTGTGTGTGTTTGTGACAGAGTTGAGACAGGGATTGCCTGAGCACAGGAACACATCCATCACTGTGGCTCTATATTATCTGTCCTCTGCTCTGATCTATGCTCAGTGGGTATATAAACATGTCACTGCCTGAGACAGAGG